CGAACAGCTGATATAATTTTTGTTTACATTCAAAAGTGTAAAATTTAAAACGTACGAAAAGTCATCACAAAGTGTTATACTGACACAGTTTATTGATTAAACAAATAACTACTTATTTCTTACAAGTTTAATTAGTCGCATTTTGTAACTTTTAACTTCCAAACCATCAAATTCAATTTTGTGATTTGCGTAAATGCCAACCAGCTGTTTTTGATCAGCTCTTTTCCTGTTGGCAAATTGCTGTTGACAAAAATTTTTCCAGCAGAAACCAGCAGCTCCCCTCAAAATGAAATGTCACTTTGCTCTCTCAATTTCCCCTACTTTGCAAGTTTTTTACGTACGCGAACGCAACTATTATTAGCTTTTTCCAGACTTCATTGTTTTTCTATACTATTACTTATTGAAAATGTTTGCGTGTATACTTATATATGTATGTATAGGTAAGTAAAATATTTTAGCTACTACTTTTAGCCACAACGACTTTTTTTAGCTCTTTTTTACCCCTTTTTTAAAGGAATTTGGCTACCACTAAAAATGTCTCGCGGCAACGCTGTATGCAAGTGCTTTCTGTAAAAAGAGCTTTTCACCAGGAAAGTTGGCAAAGAAGCTTTCTATTTGTAAGACTTCCGTGCCAGAATAAACAAAGTCTTTCAAGTTATCTTGTCTACTGTCTTTTAATTGTCTTACAAAAGGCTTTCAACTATTTTAGCCAGAATTTCCGTAGTATGAAACAAACTAGAAATGAATCGAAAAAAGGTTCGGAGTGTGGTCCAGGCGCACTCCTTCTTTTGAGGAGACCTCATAAGAAGCATTACGAGGTGTATGAATGCAGTTCGATCAATATTGCCCAACTACAGACGTTATTTGCTCACAGATTTTTTCATGCAAATATGTGCATTTATGTATTTAGTTATGTATGTAAGTATGTAAATGGGTATGTACATATGCATACATATTTGTATCAGTGTTCAATGTACCTGTTGCCCTAAGTCAGTCCTTTTAGCACATTTCACTTGTGTTTGGTTTTTCCCTAAATGCAAAGACTAAACAAAAATCCTGGTTTACCAAAAACAAATAAATGCCAGCAAACGTGCATATCCTGCAACCGCCAGAAGGCAAATAAAACTAAATAAATTTACTTGACGTTTGCTTGCCAAATTTACTACTACGCGTGTCACGTAGCGGCGCGTGGCGGCGGCAGTTTAAGCTGAATGCGAAAGGACATACAGGACCTTTTATACATTCAAGCTCCTAAATACATATGCATATACATACATACATACATACATACATATGTACATAGGAGTATGCAAGTTGCCTTCACATGTGAACATGTGAATCCACCGTCGACGATTGTTGGCCATCATTTAACCGAACCAAACACATTCAGAGTGTGTGGCAAAACAGCGACTTGGCCACCGGCATGCCGCAACTGACTTGCTGTTAACAATTCGCAGTGATAAGCATCAACGCCTGTGCGCTTATCTCTCATCGAATCTGTGCGTAGGCACGCATGCGCAAACGCCGTTGCTACCAGTAAAGGCAATGGTAATGGCGGAGATGGCGGGCGGTATTGCTCGGTGGTAATGGTGTCGCTGCAACCGACAGTAGATTGCGTTAATTTGTTTACTCGAAGCAATGGCAAATAACAGCAACAAACAATCAACAAGCTAGCATTAGCATGATCGCAAGCAACAAAAACAATAAATACATAAGTACATACATACATAATATGACTACGCCAACACAGGCGGCTACATTGGCGACCACAAAAATCAGCGAGTGCTGTAAACAAACAAGCAAACAACGTATACAAATGGATGGACGGACGGACGGGCGTACAAACAAATAAACACCTTATGTACATTTGTATCCTATATTCGGTCGGTCGGTCGGTCGATGAGGACGAAGACTGTGCGGTGGATGATGAGGACAACGATTATGCGGAGAATGGCCAACGATGTGTGGGAGATAGATAACAAAGAGGTGATAATTGCACTTGAATGCAACACATATCTATATATGTATGTATATGTATGTATGTATGTACATGGCTGCATACACGCGCTCCCACAAACGTACGCACATTCATACATACTTTGTACTGGTTTATATTTATGTATTTGCCACAATATGTATAAACACAGACAACAATCGGTCGGACCAATTGCGACTTAATAGCCTCCGCCTTATCGCAATTACGCTGGTGGTCGCCAACGGTATCGGTATTCGGTATTTACTTAATTTACCCGCCAGGGGCCATTGTGTGAAACATGGGAAAATCAAACCTCAATAATGCGTAGACCATTTGCCTTTTTGTTGTTCGAGTATGTATGTGGTGTTCAATGGCATTTTGCTCGACAGGACATCGTTATTGCTTAT